CTTAGAGGACCGCCCCCCCAACCTTGATGACCCTGAGTAGGTACTGAGTTCCTGAGTTTTAGCTGAGGACTGAAGGTGCGACTGCAATAGGATTAGCTGGTCTGAATCAGACTTACGTAGCACCAGGCAACCTTCAGTCTCGTTTTGAAAGGGGACCACCCTGAACCTTCCAGAAAAACGTTGCTTTCCCCAATTGAAGTGATTCCCATGTAACCACAGTCGGAGCGCAACTGGCCAAGATTTTCATTCACCGCAGACTCAGTCCTCATTCCCTTTTCCAGATCCCACCAGGGGCAGACTAGGTGTCACATTGCATCACATCACGCCATTGCCATTACCCTGTTCACAGGCCACCCCAGAAACTCCCAGCGGGAGATGGAAACTAACTTCTGAGCTGTGACTCTGCCCCTTGGGGTTGACACTGAGGCTTGGCTGTTTCTCACTCGTTTGCCCTGCCTTTCCCAGCTCCCCACCCCTCTCTGCTGGCATCTTGTGGCCGGATGACAGCACCAGCTCTTCACACCTGAAGCACATTAGCGACGCTGGCTGGGCTGGAGCTCTGCTCCCAAGCTTCCTCTCCCTGCCTGGAAGCCTGAAGCACCGATGTGCAGAGCAAGAAGGAACTCTGCTCCCACGCCTGATTTTAATGAGGGACGGATGCATCCTGCAGGGCTCAGAGGTTCTGTTTCTCTAAACCCAGACCAAATGTGTTTGGGTGGCCAGGCCTCGTAATCTCAGCAGAGGAATGTGCGTGCCACAGGGCTGCAGAAAACAGTTTCCAGTGGTCTGTCAGCAGATGTCCACTCCAGAAGACAGACAGGGAATGTGGAGACCTGCAGGCTTTCGAATGAAAAAGTGATGGATATTAAGAGCACAACTACACACATTCAGATTCTCAAACGCCCAATAAGCATAAATATTTTCCATCCACAATGTACTATATATGCCTAAATATAGGACAAGCCTCAAATAGCGTATCCCCCGTTTCCCTAATTAGGTAAATTTAACCCTCTTTTTTTTTTTTTTTTGCCAACTTAATAGGAATCAGAACTATGATTGCCTTTGAGGTGGGGGGAGTGGACAGTGGGAATTGACTGGCAAGGGACTGGTGGGAACTTTCTGGAGCGATAGACAAGTTCTGTACTTTCATGGGAGTAGTAGTTACTGGGTGACATCATCTATCAAACTGCACCCTTTAGATCTGTGGATTGTAATGCCTGTAAATTTACCTCAATAAAAAGAAGTTAGGGGAAATGAATGAAATAATCAACTATCTGCTTATAATGTTTAACTTAATCATGTGGTTGAATGCTTAAAATTTTATAAGAATGATATATTAATCTATAATACTCTCCATTCTTACGTTTCACAAAATCATTTTATCCAAGTGTGCATCTTCTGAGATTGCTGGATATCATTTCTAAGCCACATTTTTAGTCAGCAGTTTACCAGAATATATCATCTACAATTTGCCTAATTTATTTGAAATGCAGAACTTCTTGAATCCATGTTGGTTCTGAAATTTGATTGGCACACACCAACGCCCACTTGCGGAGCACTGCAGCAGTTGTTTTCCTCATTTGTCTTGCAAGTGAATATTCATGCTGCTCCCCACATCAACAGCTTACATATTGCTTTCTAAAATGGGCTTTCCAATATTTATCGCAACTTTCAGCAATTGAACCCAAGGAATAATTACCAAATCTTCATTAAAGCTCATTGCCTGCTCCCCATTATTTCCCTCTAGTGACCTCTAAAATCATCCAATCCCGATGTTGATTGAGATCATTTCAGGCTAGTGTGTTTTCCCCAAAGTTGTGGTTGGAACCAAGTAATTGAGGCTGGGTGCAGTGGCTCATGCCTGTAATTCCAGTGCTTTGGAAGGCCAAGGCAGACAGATTGCTTGAGCTCAGGAGTTCGAGACCAGCCTGGGTAATGTGGCAAAACTCCATCTCTGCCGAAAAAAAAGAAACCAACAAAAAACAAAACAAAACAAAAACTAGCCATGTGTGGTGGCATGTGCCTATAGTCCCAGCTACTCAGGAGGCGGAGGAAGGAGAATCACCGGAGCCCAGGAGGTTGAAGCTGCAGTGAGCTGGACTACTGTACTCAGCCTGGGAGACAGAGACCCTGTCTCCAAAAAAAAAAAAAAAAAACTAAAGTAATTTCCAAAGTATTAGACACTTTTAAAGGACAAGAAGTCCCAAACTGTGAGAAACGTTTATAGGCAACATCCTCTTTTCTAATAGTTTAACTTGAGGATATAAAACTTCACCTTATTTATTTTCAGATATATATGGTAAATCCTGGAATGTATTCAGATCAAAGGTAAAATAGAGATCAATTTAGCAAATTTTGGTGGTCTTGTCTTATAATTCATTATTAATAGATTAGCATTGTTAGTTTATTTGTGTAGCAAAAACTGACAAATAGAATCTAATTAAACTTAAGAGCTTCTACACAGCAAAAGAAACTATCAACAGAGTAAACAGACAACCTACAGAATGGAAGACAATATTTGCAAACTATGCATCTGACAAAGGTCTAATATCTGTCATCTATAAGGAACTTAAATTTGCAAGAATGAAACAGCTCCATTAAAAGGAGGGCAAAGGACATGAACAGACACTTTTCTAAAGAAAACATACCTGCAGGGTGCCGCACACCAACATGGCACATGTATACATATGTAACAAACCTGCACATTGTGTACATGTACCCTAGAACTTAAAGTATAATAAAAAAAAGAATAAAATAAAAATTAAAAAAAAGAAAACATATCTGCAGACAGCCAGCATGTGAAAAACTCAGTATCACTGGTCATTACAGAAATGCAAATCAAAACCACAGTGAGATACCATCTCATACCAGTCAGAATGGCTATTACTAAACAGTCAAAAATGGGCCCGGTGAGGTGGCTTACGCCTGTAATCCAAGCACTTTGGGAGGCTGAGGTGGGCGAATCACAAGGTCAGGAGATCGAGACCATCCTGACTAACACAGTGAAACCCTATCTCTACTAAAAACACACAAAAAATTTTGCCAGGCATGGTGGCGGGCGCCTGTACTCCCAGCTACTCGAGAAGCCAAGGCAGGAGAATGGCTTGAACTCAGGAGGCAGAGCTTGCAGTGGGCCGAGATCACACCACTGCACTCCAGCCTGGCCAACAGTGCGAGACTCCATCTCAAAAAAAAAAAAAAAAACCAAAGCAAAAGTCAAAAATTAACAGATGCTGGAGAGGTTTTGGAGAAAAGAGAATGTTTATACACTGTTGGTGGGAGTATAAATTTGCTCAACCGTTGTGGAAAGCAGTGTGGCTATTCCTCAAAGAGCTAAAAAGAGAACTGCCATTTGACCCAGCATCCCATTACTGGGTATATATACCCAAAGGAATATTAATCATTCTACCCTAAAGACACATGCACATGAATGTTCATTGCAGCACTATTCACAATAGCAAAGACATGGAATCAACCTAAATACCCATCAAAGACAGATTGGATAAAGAAAATGTTGTACAGATATACCATGGAATACTATACAGCCATAAAAAAGAATGAGATCATGCCCTTTGCAGGAACATGGATGGAACTGGAAGCCATTATCCTTAGCAAACTAACACAGCAACAGAAAACCAAATATTGCATGATCTCAATGATAAGTGGGAGCTAAATGATGAGAACTCATGAACACAAAGAAGGGAACAACACATACTGGGGTCTACTTGAGAGTGGAGGTTGGAAGGAAGGAGAGGAGTAACAAAAAATAACTATTGGGTACTAGACTTAGTACCTGGGTGATGAAATAATCTGTACAAAAAACCTCCATGACACAAGTTTACCTATATAACAAACCTGCACATATACTCCCAAACATAACATAAAAGTTAAAAAAAAACAGCAAAAAAAGTTTTTGTTCCCTACCATGAATAAAAAGTGAAACATTCTTGAACAACTGTATTTTACTCAAGGGCATTATAGATAGGGCAATTTAACAGATGCCTGTGGTTAGCCATGGGATTGTAAGCACAATCCTAAATTATGAATTACTAATTATTAATTTTCTGGTTTGACCTCACATCCTGTCCAGTCTTCATCTACAAGCAGTGTGATATGATGATGATATATAAAGAAGACTTCATTTTTTTCAACAGTTCCTCAATTTAAACATCAAAAAGAGTGCTGTTCTTAAGGAAATCATCACGAAAGACTAAACACCATTGTTTTGTTTCTAATGTTGCTGTCACTCAGCACCATTGCCATTGCTGTCAGAAGCAAAATCAAATCACTCACCAAGAGCTCGACGAGCATGCAGGTCCTCGTCTGGCTCAGGACAGAGGCTGCTCAGTCAAGCATGCAGGTCCCCATCTGGCTCAGGGCACAGGCTGCTCAGTTAGTGTTTTGGTAGCAAAACTCTGGCTTTAGAGTTGGACCGAGAGCAGTCCTGCTTGCTGCCCATTCCCTTTCTCTAGGAAGACCTCTAAGGAGTTTTACAGCACCCTGGGGGCTTTCTAGAATGGTTGAAAACCTCTGGCAGTAGATCATCCATCAGGCTTGGTCCCAAGTTCCAGACCTGGGTTCTTGACTTCATGACTGTTGGCCAGTGACCTAAGTTGAGTCTCATTTTCCTAAGTTGAGTCTCATTTTCCTCATTCAGACAAGAATTGCTTGGTAAGGATGTTCTTAAGTGTGCTTTCAAAACCATGGAGTATGAGGCTTATTTTACTCCTTAAGTCTTCCTATTTCCTAGTCAGATCTCATTTGCATGTTGTATGTCATCTCATCAATTATTGGGGGACCTAACATCCACGTTTTCTATTATTTGGCCCCGTTGATGCTACAACTTCTGCCTTTCAGCTTTTCAGCCATTGTTCACTTCAAAATGGACAAGAAGGAAAGGTGAATTGGGGTTCTATCACTCCTGCCTCTATAATAAGGGGCTCCAGCATCATGATTCATTCTTGAGACTGACCCTCTGACGGGCCTCTTTTCATTTGCAGGTGGGCCAACAGAAAGGAAACTGCTCTTTCCAGAAAAACCCAACTCCCTGCATCATCCCTCAAGAACAAGAAAATATCTTCCACACAATATTTGCTTTTTTCACAAAGTCTGGAAGAAAAGTCTTGGTAAGGATTTGCTTAGTGGCTGGGGTAACATGGGTGGTCCTCACTCGGAAGACACCAGTTTTCTATTTGATATTTATTATTTCCTAAATCTGGTTTTAATCAATTGACTTATAAAGGCACAGACTGTGGTCAACTCCTAATTTGCAGTCTGAGGTTTCTGTCAAAATGTTAAATTTACATTCCAAATCCTATTACCTGGGAAAGGGATAAATCGTTGCAACCCACCAAGCACAAAGTAAGATGTTTCTTCAACTAGTATGAGTCTAAGCAAGAGTGATTATTCGTGTGCAAACATTTTGGGAAACTGTTTGATAGTATCTACTAAAGCAAAACATGTGTGTATCCTATGACACAGCCATTCTACTCTTGAGTATATCCCCAAGAAAAATGAGTACTTGTGCCCCCCGGGGAAGACATGAACAAGAATGCTCACAGAAATGTTAAAATAGGTGAAAGCTGAGAACAAGTGCAAATATCCATCAACAGGAGAATAAGTAAGCAATTGTGGTATATCCATACACTGGAATATTACACAGTAATGAAAAATTGCTACTGCTACATTTATGAATCTCACAGACAGAATATATTGAGTGGAAGAAGCTAGAGACAAAAGCCACATATTGTAATATTTCACTTGTACAAAGTTCAGAAATAGCAAAAACTAATCATGATGATAGAGGTCAGGAAAGTGGTTACTTTCAGAGGAATATGGATGGGATGGGGCATGAGGGAGCCTGCTTAGATGCTGGAAATGTCCTACATCCTAATCAGGGTGGTGGTCCTTCAGGTATAAACACATGTAAAAATTTATAAAGACAGGCCAGGCGCAGTGGCTCACGCCTATAATCCCAGCACTTTGGGAGGCTGAGGGGATGGGAGTTTGAGACCAACCTGGCCAACATGTTGAAATCCTGTCTCTACTAAAAATACAAAAATTTGCCAGGTGTGGTGGGTGCCTGTAATCCCAGCTACTCAGGAGGCTGAAGCAGGAGAATAGCTTGAGTCAGGGAGGCAGAGGTTGCAGTGAGCCAAGAGAGTGCCACTGTACTCCAGCCTGGGTGACAGAGCAAGACTCCGTCTCAAAAAAAAAAAAAAAAAAAAAAAAATTATAAAGACATACACTTCAGATTTGTTCTGTTTACTATATTTGTTATACCTCCATTTTTAAAACGTGAAGGTATTGAAGATGGAATGACAGTGCTTTTCCAAAGCCTCCTTTTTATTATCTTTGGTTACATTTCTCTAAGCTCCTTATTTCAGCCCTGGCACATCTCACCTTTATCTTCCTTTCTCATTCTTTTCTCCTGTTGAGAAACATGACTGCCACTTAAAAGGTTGGGATTTTTTTTTTTTTACTTACATAGTGAGGATGATACATTTATTGTTTAAAGCCCTTAGATTGTTAGATGTAGTGATACCTAGTGATTTTATAGTTATGACTCTGGCTGAAAATTTTGCCCTATAGATGAAACATCATCAAGGTATGTATATGCATTTTGGAACCTATTATATAAAAAAGAAAACTTTTGTACCTTAAATTTGGGATTTATGTTTTCGATTTTTTGTTTGTTTGTTTGTTTTGAGATGGAGTCTTGCTTTGTCATCCAAACTGGAGTGCAGTGGCGTGATCTTGGCTCACTGCAACCTCCACCTCTAGGGTTCATGCAATTTTCCCATTTCAGCCTCCCCAGTAGCTGGGACTACAGGCGCCCGCCACCACTCCTCGCTAATTTTGTATTTTTAGTAGAGACGGTTTCACCATTGGCCAAACTGGTCTTGAACTCCTGATCTCAGGTGACTCCCATACCTGAGCCTCCCAAAGTGCTGGGATTACAGGAATGAGCCACCGCGCCCAGCCGGGATTTACATCTCTATTGTAACTTTTGTGTTTCCTTGAGCAAGAATCACATGACTTCTTAGCCCTCTCATTTACCCTACCTAATAAATAGGCATGAAAGTATATTTGCCACTGCACAGGTGGAAATCACACAATGTAGGAAACGTGTCTGTGTTCAAAACTCATAAGAATGCTTTCAGAATGCAAAGTTTAAGTGTGTGGTTTTAAAATATAAATATATATATATATATATTTCTCTTTGTGAATTCATCCAATTCTTGGTAGGATTAACTAGTGAGCTGTTTTCTCCCAGTTGCTTGACTTAAAGGCATGCACTGGTTCCCACCGGGTGGGAAATCCCGTGAATGCCCTCTGGTGGCAAGAAAAATGATTGCATCTTCTTATGGATTTCCTCGGCCTGGAATTGCCTCAGTCACCAAGTTCATGGAGCCCACTACTCTATAAATTGTTGTGGATTTGTCTTTATTCTTAACTCCATTGGAAAATTATCTGACTTTTCTTCTCAGGACTGTGAAAAACCAGGAATTTCTTGCCTAACAGCACACTGTAACTTTAGTGCTCTTGCTAAAGAAGAAAGCCGTACTATAGACATTTACATGCTGCTGAACACAGAAATACTGAAAAAGGTAAGCCCTAAGGAAACGCACTTGTAGGATGCATTTAGAAGCATTTGAATTGTTGACATCCGATTTTGGGGAAAAAAAGGAAAACATTTGATTTGGTGTCCTCATGACGCTCCGGCTGCCCCTACTTTTGGCTGTCTACAAGAGACTCTGTATTTATTTTTATGTACTTCAGGGGTACAAGTGCAGATTTCTTACATGAATATATTGTGTAGTAGTGAAATCTGGGCTTTTAGTGTACCCATCACCTGAATAGTGAACATGGTACCCAATAGGTAACTTTTCAACCTTCACCCCTATCCCAAATTTTGGAGTCTCCAATGTCTATTAATTCTACTCTTTATGCCTATGGGTACCCATTACTTAGCTCTCAATTATAAGTGACAACATGCAGTATTTGACTATTTTTGAGTTATTTCACTTAGGGTAATGAACTCCATTTCCATCCATGTTGCTACAAAGGACATAATTTAATTCTTTGTTATGGCTGAGTAGTATTCCATAGTGTGTGTGTATATATATACACATTTTCTATAACCAGTCATCCATTGATGGACACTTAAGTTGATTCCCTATCTTTGCTATTGTGAATAGTGCTGCAGTAAACTTACCAGTGCAGGTATTTTTTTATACAATATTTCTTTCCCTTTGGGTATATACCCATTAGTGTGATTGCTGGATGTGGCAGTTCTATTTTTAGTTCTTTGAGAAATCTCCATACTGCTTTTTTGATTGTACTAATTTACCTTCCCATTAGCAGTGTGTAAGTGTTCCCTTTTCTTTGCATCCTCACCAACATCTGTTGTTGTACTTGTTGTTGTTGTTGTTTAACTGTTTAGTAATAGTCTGGCTGCCCCTTTTGAAACTTTTCCAGCAAGTGCCATTGGTAATTCTGCTGGTAGACAATGCCAGGGTAAAATACCAGACCCTTGCTACTCAAAGTGTGGTCTGAGGACCAGCAGCATCAGCACCACCTGAGAGTTTGTTAGAAATGCAGAATCCTGGGCTGCACCGCAGACTTAATAAATCAGCATCTTCATTTTAACACATTCCCCAGGGATTTTGTTTGCACATTTAAGTTTCTCATGCTTTAGCTTGCATCAGAATCACCTGGAGATCTTGTTCAAACACAGATTCCTTTGGGGTGGAGTCTGAGGCTCTCCAGTTGCCACAAGCACCCAGGTGATACCCAGTCCTGCAGGTCTAGGGACCTCGCTTTGGATGAAGGTGGGCTAACCTTTTCTGTAAAGGGCCAGTAGTAAATATTTCAGGCTTTGCAGGCCCTACAGACTCTTGCAACTGTTCAACTCTGCCATTGTATTGTGAAAGCAGCCATAAACAAATGAATGGGCATGGCTGTAATCCAGTAAAACTTTATAAAAACAGGCAGAGGGCCAGATTTGACCCATGAGTCCTAGTTTAAATGACACTTTGTTTTAGTCCAACTTTTGAACCACAGGTCACTTTGCTATTATGAGTATATCACAGGTGGTTCATTAAAAAACACCTCAACCAGTGCATCGGTGGCTCTTGAAGAATCATACAAATTTCCTATGATTTATTTTAAGATGAGAGCTGCTGAGAGGCCACTTCCAACAAGATGCTGTAAAAATAATTACATGTGAAGATAAAACTAAATATGCATGTTAGTTACAGAGATTCCAATTATTTTTCTTTAGAAAGACTAATTGTGGTAATCTGTACAAGACTATCCACGTGTGAATGAATAGCCTTAGAAAAGTCATTCTGTGAAATAGGCACAGAGGTAACACACTGACCTGAGAGAATGCAGGCATCAGGGGATGTTTTTCCATTTTAATCTGTAGCTGTTACAGCCCTCACACACCCGAAGAGAGCTGTGCATAGTTCTGGTTTCTCTGGTTTGCTCTGGAGGGAAACTGGTTTGGGGCAAGTTGGACTCACACCACAGTGCTTTCTTCTCCCTTTGTACCTCTCCCTTTATAAAGAACAGTGTTGGAGGACCAGGCATGACTTAAAGCACCACTGGCCATCCTCTGATTCCAGAAGGGAGCCTGGAAACCCCACATCTAGGGAAGTACCTTCCTGAAATGTGTCCCCAGGCCAGGCTGGAGGGCTATGCCTCTGCATACTTACCTATCCCATTTGTATTCTTCACAAATGGTGTTGCAGACAGTTTTATTGCCTGTGCGATACTTGCCACTGTCCACAGAGCCCTGGTGACAGCACTGGTGGCTGTAAGCCACTCTGATGTTTCCTTTATCCTCAACCCAGATGACCACTGCTTGCACTTCAGTTATTTGCGCTTAACCATGCACAGCTCTGCAGCCTGGTTCTTCTGCATTTCTGTCCCGGTAGCTGGTGGTGACCCTTTGCCAAGGAACATGTCCCAGTGACTATTGTCCCCATGGGCCAGCCAGGCCAGTAGGGCCCCAGGCAAGAGAACTGAAAGCTGTAGGGTGTCATATGAAGCCTTCAAGGCTCATTCTCCATGTGCCCTTTCAGCAGAAACCAGGAGCATTTCCAGGTGCAAAGAAAAGCTTAGAACAAAGTTGACCTGGAAGCCAGATGGGGCCCCATCTGCTGCTGGAGCTTCAGTCACCCCGAAGCCAGCTACAGCTTCCCTTGGGGAGTTGAGCCCGCATGGCTCCAGGCCTCCTGAAGGATGTGGAGCAGTGCCAGCCTTGTGGTTTGCCTGGGCCTACGGTCGTGTTTATTTTCCTTTTGACCTCAAGATCTGGCCCCAGACAAGGGAATTTGAGGTTTTACTGTTTTGACCTTAACAAGTTTTCATTTGAAATGTAGGATCTGACTTTTAAAATCACTGTAGGATTCGGATTTCTTTCGAAGTGTTCTTCCAATCCGTAAGGCTTTTTTCACTGATTCTACAACCGTGGGGGCCCATCCTGTGCCAGACTCCTTGTCTGCTTGGCCTGTAACATTGGCAATTATCATCATCATCATCATCATCATCATCATCATCATTATCGTTATTAACATCCAAGGTTATTTTTATTTATTTTAATTTTTTTATTAAAAAAATATTTTTAGAGACAGGATCTCGCTCTGTCACCCAGATGGGAGTACAGTGGTGCAATCATAGCTCACTGCAGCCTCAAACTCCTGGGCTCAAGTGATCTTCCTGCCTCAGCTAATCCTCAGCTAGGACTGCAGGCACGTGCTACCATACCAGATGAATTTTTTTTTTAATTTTTGGTAGAGATAGGATGTTTCCCAGGCTGATCTTGACCTCCTAGCCTCAAGTGATCCTCCCACTTCAGCCTCTCAAAGTGCTGGGGTTACAGGCCTTAACCATCGTGTCTGGCCCAAGATTATTATTATTATTCCAAATTGAAAATACAGCATATCCTGACACATAAAACCCCACCTTTATAAAACTGTTAAATTGGTAAAAGATTATTTGTTGCTTAAAATTATTGCTTGCTTAAAGTGAGTGAACTGGAGTAACCCTTTTGAATGACAAGCTTCCCAAAAGCATTTAAAATGTGTTTTATGGTTGTTTTAAGAAAAGAATGATAATTGATGTATAACTCCCAAGTCACACATACAGACTGGGGTACCTCTGTGCCCCAGGAAGGTCTTTGTGGTTTCATTGGCAGAGATGAGCAAAGGGTACCCTTGGAACTGTTTTCTGTGGAGTCCTCTACCTTCCTGTTCTTTGAGAGTTTAGCCAAAGGTGGCATCTGAGTGTGAACTCCTTGCATGACAGGCAAGCTGGGTAGATGTAGGTGGGGACACCACAAGATACCTTGCCTGTGGAGTCCCTGCTGCCCCGCAGGTAGAATGTTGAATGCACTAGTTCTCTGCTATCTGTTTCCACAACAGAAGCCAGGCTTCCCTTCTGCTTCACGATCAACCTGTCCCACTGGCTTGAGGTTCCGGCTCCTCACCAGGCCACAGTTTTGCCAGTCCCTGTCTTCTTCCAAATTCATTCTCCATCCCTGCTTTGGCGCCATTTTCTGGTTATCTGGATCAGTGGCTTTGAATCTGAGCCCACAGGAAGGCCTCTGCCTGCCTCTGGCTGGGGGGTGATTCCTGAGTCTTAGATGTGCTCCCTTATACCCCTGCCCCTTTCTCCTTAATTTATAAGCCAGATATTTCCCCCTTCCCCATCTCTCCATCAGGCACCCTCTTTCAATGTTAAATGGTTTTGATTCCCAAACAACTTCATTTAAGAGCAAAGAAAGAGTTAAAAGCAACTCGTATGAAGGGTTTGAGGGTTGTGGTCAAGGCAGGAAGATGCCTATAAAATGTAGATCAGATGCCTTTTGTGGAATGCCGAGCCTCGATTTGCTGTACACAATTAAGCAGTTTTATTTATCCTCAACTCTTTGTGAACATGTCAATAGCAATATCCAAATATCTGACTCTTACTGCTTGGAAACCACAGCACACAGCTTGCATGTGTTGATTACTCCATCATTTCCCAGCAAACGCCATTATTTCCCAGCATCCACCATGAGCTGCAAAGAATTCTCAAGAGAAACCCTGGAAGTCTGTGTTTATGTGGGTCCCTGGGATGGAGAGGTATCTAGTTCAGTGATAAAATTTTTGTCTGGGCTACATGGAATCATGGAATTTCAGTTCTGCCCAGTCCCTCTCAAGGCCCAGCTATTATCATAGAAAAATCTTTGAGTAAGTTGTGCTGTTTCTTCCACAGGACAGTTCATCTGTCATCCAGTTCATGTCCCGCGCCAAGGTGAAGGTGGATCCTGCCCTAAGAGTGGTGGAAATAGCTCATGGGAACCCAGAAGAGGTGACGGTGAGTCAGCCACCCCAGGACAGCCCTCGTCAGAGGGCAAGGGAAGCTGGGTGACTTGGAGACCTGGAGCTGGAATTTGAGGGTCAAGACAGTCTCTAAGCCAAGATGTTGGGTTTGTGGCAGACCCGAGACTATGCCTGCCTTGGCTTCCAGGCCCCCCTGGAGAACTTCTGTGGTTTGTTCTTGTGATAGCATTGTCCTTTAGGATGCCATCATTATGTGAACATTTCCTGCTATGATTGTCTGGAAATGGTCTGGAAGTACCCCCGCCTCAACAGGGTTGGATTTCCACTGTGGAGCCAGGACTATTTATATCTTTCTTAGACCTTTCCTAAGGCAGACCACATCTGCCTTACCCATCACATTACTCCATGGGTAAATACTGTGTGTTTGGTTTGGTTTGGTTTTTAAGAGACAGGGTCTCACTCTGTCACGCAGGCTGGAGTGCAGTGGCACAGTCATAGCTCCCTGTAGCCTTGAATACCTGGCCTCAGGGGATTCTCTCATCTTAGCCTCCAGAGTAGCTAGGACTACAGGCGCACTACCATGACTAATTTTTCATTTTTTTTTTTGTTCATTTTTTTGTCAAGATAGGGTCCCACGATGTTGCTCAGGCTGGTCTCAAACTCCTGGCCTCAAGCAATCCTCCTGCCTCAGCCTCCCAAAACACTGGGTTTCCAGGCAAACATTGGGTGTTTTAAAAACAAGTTGTTTGAATGACTTAAAGAGATTATGCCCAAATTGCCAAGACCTAGTAACTGCTCTTTAACCCTGTATTTACCACCCCCTTCTCCTCCATAAAGTGCAGTTGGCACCAAGGCCTCCGAGACACAGGAGGATGTGGCAAACCACGAGGCTTATTGTGGAGGTGTGGGAGAGGCTGGAGGAGAGCTGTGGCCTTGGAATTTTATTGCCTTTGATTGTTGTTCTTGCAGGAGCAGGGGGGTTGAGAGAGGGTTCATCCTGTATTTGACGCCCACACTCAGATCCCAGGGGAGTAGAGGAGGAGACAGCAGTCGATGCACTTCTTTTGCCAGTGAGCTATGCAATGATCCTACCTTTCTGCATCCCCTTCTGTGGAATTTACCTTCTCTCAAGAGCGACTTACCCTTTCTTACAAGAGTCAGTGTTGCTGTGACACATTTACAAAACTGACAAGTTTATAATGATTATGTGCTTAGAAACTGTTGTTAACTTACTCTCTGACAACAGTGGAGACACCACATGTCGAAATGTCAGAATGGGGATCAAACCAAAGACCACTCTTACAAGACCCTGGTTGCGAAGGGTTCATATGGAAAATAAATGCTGGGCCGAGGCAGACAGATCACCTGAGATCAGGAGTTCAAGACCAGCCTGGCCAACATGGTGAAACGCTGTCTCTACTAAAAAATATAAAAATTAGCTGGCCGTGGTGATGGGCTCCTGTAAACCTAGCTACTCAGGAACTGAGGCTGGAGAATCACTTGAAACCAGGAGGTGGAGGTTGCAGTGAGCCGAGATTGTGCCACTGCGTTCCAACCTGGGCGACAGAGTGAAACTCCGTCTCAAAACACAAAGAAACAAAAAAAAAAACAATAATAATAATGATGCTTAGGGACCTCAGTAAAACTTCAGTCCTGCCCATTTTTAGTGAGTAAGAGGTGATAACATCAGTGAGCCTGGGATGAATATGAATTCCTGAATGAGTGAGGGGTGGGCATTCCCTACTCAGTGAGGGGAACGAGTGTTCCATGCAGACTTTTATGCTCTACCCACAAGAGAAGTTGTCCAAGCACTATTTTTGTTCGTTTGTTTGTTTGTTGGAGACAGGGTCTTGCTTTGTCACCCAGGATGGAGTGCAGTGGTGCAATCATGGCTTACTGCAGCCTCTACCTGTCGGCTCAGGCCAGGTACTAATTTTAATAATAGAAACCAAATGGATTGATGCTGGGTCACTTACTACTTACAGTCAGTTTTTCTGGAAGGTCCTATATTTGGAGTTGGCGTTTCCCTTTTCTTCCCTGCCTTCTGGCAATTTAATTGCTAATTCAGACCTCCACCTGGGAAGTGAAAGAGGAAAGTGGTTCCCTGCTCATTGTCATAGTTCTGGCTTAAAAGTTTTATAGCATTAAATACATGCCCAACATGAGAGGTTTAGAATGTTCTGGTAAACCATAGTGTTAATAAGTAGAAGCTAATGGAAATACCTAACAGGTTTTCTACATGTGGAATCCCTTGTGTAGATGAAAAAAAAAAAAAGTACTGGGCATATTGCCTTCCATTATAGGACTAGACTGTGGGATCCAGGAAAATGTTGCTTAACATCTCGTTGGATTCCGAGTCATCTGTACTTCCCCAAAATATCACTTCCATTAATTACTGTTCCAATTTTGAGCACTATGGTGATATTTTCATTATCAAGAGTTCTTGGGAAGAGGCTGAGGTTTTTTTTAGCACTCCCAAGAAAAAATTAACACACATGAGAATCCTACAATGCCCTTTTTCCCTCCTTTCCACGACTTTGCCTTTTCAGTCCATGAGCTACAGTGAAGTTCTACAATCTGTTGTTCTCAATTTTCCTGGCAGGAAAAAAAAAAAATCTTTTCTGAGTAGGAAGGTTTGCCTTTTTAGAACAAACACGTTCTTCCCTGCGTGATTCTTCTGAATGCCTGGCCCTCTGTCAACCATCAGTCTGAAGGGGAATTTCCATAAAGGCTCGCCACCAAATTTAAATCAGGCAAAGTTTCAAAGATTTTAGATTAGGCACCAAATTGTTATGGCCTTGGAAGGAACAGGAAATGTACTTATATTGGTATCCAGCAGCGTGTGAGTGGAGAGGAAAACAATCAGATTTTTAACCACATAACGTGTGCATGGTGGTAAATTTAACTGATTGAGAAATCAAGCAATTTTCCTGTGATTTTTTTAAACAAGAGTTTTAAAGTGCATTTTATATTGAGTAGTTATTTCACGTTTTCTTAAAACAATTATTGTATTGAACTAAAACAAGGTAGTTTGTTCACATAACAAATCTATATTCAAAGACATGTGTACAAATTTTCCACTTAGTCCATTTTTCTGTTCTCAGCATTACTACAAATGCCTCATTCCATCATCACGTTGAATTCTTCAGTATCTTCTATATCATTCCGGGGCATCTCTGGGAAGTAGTGATGCCTGTCTTCCCTTAGAAGCACACTGATAACCCCAATATACCCACAATTCACACTTTTTTCCTTCTCTGAGGTGTGCTGTTTTTTGGCACAACAGAAAAAACACACTACTAGGAATTGAAAAACTGCTTTCTGGGCCTGGTTAGGTCATAAACTATAGAACCTTAGGTCATATATTCTCACCAGGTGCTTGTTTCTCCACTGCAAAAAATAATTCATATTTGCTTGGTCCTTTGTAGTCCTTTACTGTTTCATTTATCTTCATGATGACCCTTAAATTTAAGTAAAGTAGTATTATGCTCATTTTATAGAAGAAATTCAATCTCAAAGAGGATACAGTCTCCCAAAGATCCCACAAGCAGTAATATATTAGGCAGAGCTAAACTCACACCCTCTCACTCAAGATCCTAGTATTGGTACATGCCACGCTAATAAGTGTGCTAAAATGGATGAAGGGGCAATCTCTCAGGTCCCTTCCAATGATCCTGTCCTCTGCTTCTACTTGATTTTTTTTCTCTCTTCTCTCAACTAGCGTTAACATCTGAAACTATATATAATCACCAAATTTCATTTACCATGGTTTTTTTATTTAATATTTAAATTTTTCTATTTCCATGTTAAATCCAGAGAAATGTTACTTTTTTGAAAGTTTCTACTGCTGCCTGCCTCTCTGAAGGCCACAGGACTTACCTATTTGTTTGTCAAAGCAGAAATTCCCAACATTTTGTAAACATCACTAATTTTTTTTATAGCTGTAAAGATGATTATTCCATACTTAAAACCAATTCAAAATAAAATACTCAATACTTCTTATTCCCAGGGTAGTAATTTTAATTAGATTCTATTGATTTGTTATTTTCTCCTGTGTGCCTTTATTTGGGAAATACTGTTGGTCTACCATGCTGTCGAGTCTCTTTCCCTAACAAGAAAACGTCAGTCTTACGAGTCAGGAAAGCTTTTACTTTCACTATCACATGTGAAGAATGAACTAAACATCTAACTTGGAAAGTAAAACTTAAATAAGGGATTCAGGACACTTCCCAAGGGGTCATATGACCAATTTAAGAGTTGGTATGATGTGCCTAAAATAACAAATTAACTCTTTTACTTATAATAAAAGTACAGATGTGCTGATTAGACATGCTGACATGTACATATGAAATATGCCTAAAGCAAATTAAAAGAAAACAAAATACATTCTATGGCAATCTTGAAAAGTCTGGGAGCTCAATAAATATTAAGAGTATGCTCTCGACCTGGCGCGGTGGCTCACGCCTGTAATCCTAGCACTTTGGGAGGCCAATGCGGACAGATCACGAGGTCAGGAGATCGAGACCATTCTGGCTAACATGATGAAACCCCATCTCTACTAAAAAATACAAAAAAAAAAAAATTAGCCGAGCGTGGTGGCAGGCGCCTGTAGTCCCCACTACTTGGGAGGCTGAGGCAGGAGAATGGCATGAACCCAGAAGGTGGAGCTTGCAGTGAGCCGAGTTCACGCCACTGCACTTCAGCCTAGGCAACTGAGCAAGACTCTGTCTCAAAAAAAAAGAAAAAAAAAAAGTATGCTCTCACAATGAGAGCATTAAACACTTGGTAATTAACATAATTTAATATGCCAAAAATGAGAAAATATACAGGATGAGGGATGAGGAGTACACATAGGCAATTTTTGTGATTTTCTTCATTTGATTGTATTGCTTGCTTGTCTTCAGGAGGGAAGATTTTGACTTCAAAAGTAACAAAATATTTAAGAAGGAAATTCACATCTTTCTGTTCTAAATGGTATTCTTGTGCTATTTTCTCAGCAGTCCATGTTTCTGGAAAAAAATTATGATTATTGAG